ATTTTATAAAGATAATAATTAAGTATTTTGTTAGAATTCAATGATTATCCTAATTATATTTTAGATTTTTTATATTTAAAATGAGATGTTTATCTTGTATTTGATTGWGTTYATCTGCAKTTASTTACACGAATTCAGATATGGAGCTTTAATAAGTTGTATCTACGTACAATTGACTTGTAATCTTGAGTTTTAAGTAATATGCATCAATAAACAGTACTTTACGCGTAAAAAATGGTTTTTAAGAGTTTTTGTCAAATGATTTACAATATAGAATATATATATATATATATATATATATATATTTTTTATATAATTTAATTTAAGTTTAATAATAAAAGAATTTATTTTTGGTTTGATAATATAACATTTTATAAAGATAATAATTAAGTATTTTGTTAGAACTCAATGATTATCCTAATTATATTTTAGATTTTTTATATTTAAAATAAGATGTTTATCCTGTATTTGATTGTGTTTATCTGCAGTTAGTTACACGAATTCAGTTATGGGATAAAATCGGATAGGGATGAAATTGTTTAGGGATAAAATTGTTTATGGATGAACGAGTTTAAGAGTTTTTAAGAGTTTTAGTCAAATGTTTTATAATATAGTATAGATTAAAAGTGATGTTTCTCATAGTTATATGCATGTAACCCATCTATATTTAAAAGGATTTTGATTAATGAAGATTACAAATTATTCTCACTGTTTACTATTGTTCAATATAATTTTTTCTTCAACACGTTATAAAGCATGTAAGCTCACTTGCAAACTACATACAACTTAATTACCTATTTTCAAATGCTTCATAGGTCAAAATAAAAAAGAGTTGCATGGATACTCCATCTCATTTTTTAGGTGTTTTGTAATTGTTTAGCCATATTTATCCTAAACCACATGCCTACCCTCTTTATTTTTATTTTTATTTTAAAACAAAGCTCCCATTTCTTTATTAATTTATTTACTTTTTAAATGTGCAGCTGTACATGTTAACATACTGTAAATTATTTTAATTTTGGTTGGAGTGGTACAGTTTTTGTTACTTTAAACATGATATTATCATATATGTATTTATGCTTATTCACTGATTTGTTATGTCATCGTCATTTAATTAAGGTTTTATTTGAAATTTTCTATTTTATCTATACTATCTTATAAACAAGAATTATCAAAAGTCTTAAAAACAATTTTTAATGCATAAAGTACTATACATTTATGCATAAGGTCTTAAAAGTCTTAAAAACAACTTATAATGCATTAACTACTACTACTTTTTTATGCATTCATTTTTAAAATCTCTTAATCTACAATTAAAATAACATATAGTACAAGTTACCAATGCACATTATTGTCTTTTCTTTTCATGTTCTCATGATACTTTTGACATATTTCTCTTATGTCTTCACTCTCTCATACCTCTATGTCTTCTCCCCATCCTCCAATGTGAGATTCAAACTTATATTCACCATGAGTTATTAAAAGTTCTATTATTAATCTTCCATTCAATTGTTCTAGAACTCTCTGTCTCGCTTTCGATTTCTTGATTCTTTGCTCTTAGTGTAAATCAAACACATTTGTGGAGTCGTTTAAATATGTTGGATTTTAAATATATATTGGATTTTAAACTGTCATACTATTTTTTTTATCGATAGATTGTAATTGGAACCATAACTTTTATTTATTCAAATTGTATTAATATGTAAAGACCAAGTGTGTGTGTGTGGAGGTTCAAACGAGAACCCCTATGATTTACGAGAATTTGAGAACAACCTAATAACCTCAAACTTTTTTAATTAATAAGTTAACTTATATTAAATATAAATAAATTAATAAGGGCAATAATGTAATTAAGTAATTTTTATAATTTTTATTTTATTTTAATTAATTATAATTATCCTTTTTTTTTCCTGGATTGATCACGTTCGTTTCCTCTCTCTTCTCTTCCCTTGTGATAGTTGTGTGATTGTGTAATCATAACCTATCGAAACCATGATCAATCAAGTGTAACCATAACCTATCGAAACCATGAGTAATCGTTGTGATAAATGCGTGATTGTCTAACCCTTACCGGTCGAAACCATAATCAAATTGAGTGTGGCAAGTGATGTTATAATAGTGATATCACATGATTATCACACCAATATCATACCAAATCGTTTAGTGGATTTCGCTCGTAATCGTTGTGATAAATGTGTGATAAATGTGTGACTGTCTAACCCTAACCGATCGAAACCATGATCAAATCGAGTGCGCTGTTATGATAGTGATATCACATGATTATCACACCCATATCAGACCAAATCGTTTAGTCGATTTCGCTCGTAATCGTTGTGATAAATATGTGATTGTCTAATCCTAATCGAATGAAAGCATGTTCAAATCGAGTAATTGTGACAGATACCTTGAATAAACTGTGTTCTACGGCTTCTTCTTGCTGTTCGATTCCTGCATGCAAACCTTACGGGTTCTATTTGCTGATCGATTCCTGTTTGTTGTTCGATTCTTGTTTGCTGTTTGATTTCCAGTCTTTACGGCTTCTTGATCTTTGATTTCTCCTTGAAATCCTTTTGTTACCTTCTTAGTCGATACCTTCTAATAAACGTTAACTGTTTAATTAAGTGTATAACTTTAATTTCCAGGATTATAATGTGATCGTGTTTAAATTTGTATGATTTTGATTTCCATTATTACCCTTTCGAATCTCAAATTTTTTTGAATCGTTTTAAATTTCAATTTTAATTTCAAAAATCTTTTAATTTTAATTGTTATCACAATATGATGTTAATAAGTTGTTCTCGCATTCTCGTAAATTACAGCGGTTCTCGTATATACATACATATATATATATAGAGAGAGAGAGAGAGAGAGAGGTGAGTTATTATACAACCCTTTATATTTGTACAACCAATACAATCCAATCTCAACCATCCATTTAATTTGATGAATATGTGATTTCATATAAGTTTTGATTGATTCATAATATAAAGTATT